CCCAATGAATGCGAATACTTCTCTGCTCCTCGTACACGATACGATTGTTTTCCAATATTTGTTGGACAAAATAAGTTTTCCCACTTTGGCTCGGACCCACGACCATTAGCGAAAATTTATGGCGGAAGTTGAATTCTGGATAGGGTTTGGTGGTCAAAGATGATGTAACTTTCGGTACGGTTTTTGTTGGTTTTAGTACAGACCTTGTTTTCTTTCGAACACATTTCATTTCTTTTAGTATATGTGCCGGTCGTATCGGCAGCAAATTTGAGTTGTGGCTATGCGGTGCTGAGAACCTCGCCCTTCCTAACCACTTTTTCCTTTGATCTCCGTATAAGTTATGTACTTGGCGCAAATGATCACTTATATATAGAAGGCAAGGCTTGTTACAGAGAGGACAGTCTCTTTTGTGCTTATAGGGCATGTTGACACTTTGAAAGTTCAATCATAAATGACCGAGAATAAATGGTTTGAAAACATTTATATATATATTTTTTACGGCGACATGTGGGTGTGACGTAGGGTCAATGTAGGGTCGATGTAGGGTCGATGTGGGGTCGATGTGGGTTCGATGTAGGGTCGATGTAGGGTCGATGTAGGGTCGATGTAGGGTCGATGTAGGGTCGATGTAGGGTCGATGTGGGGTCGATGTGGGGTCGATGTAGGGTCGATGTAGGTTCGATGTAGTATAGGAGTTAGGAGCCATCCAACAAATATTGGAAAACAATCGTATCGTGTACGAGGAGCAGAGAAGTATTCGCATTCATTGGTGCTACAATCAATGGCAAGATCGTTACGATGAGTTAAAAAAGTCCCTTGGGAAAAGTATCCGATTTCAAAGAGGTTTGCCCGAGTTGTCCGAGGATCTGAGTGAGATTAATACCTGTTACAACAACGTAATCATACTGGATGATTTGATGGCCGAAGCGACAGACAGTCCTGCGGTAGCTCGATTATTTACCCAGGGACGTCATAGAAACGCTAGTGTTATCCTTTTGCTTCAGAATATGTTTCCTAAGGGGAAATTCAATACAGATATTAGCCGAAATGCCCAATATCTTGCTCTCTTCCGAAGTCCTAGTGATAGGAAACAAATTGGAATTGTTGGAGAACGAATGTTTGATAAGAATAGAATCCACTTTATGAACGCCTATTACAAAGAGACTGAAAAACCGTTTGGATACTTGTTGGTGGATAACAAGCCTGATACACCAGCAGATAAGCAAGTTCTTGGGGCCGTGTTTGGCGACTGCCGTGTTTATCTCTTCGCCACCCAAACTACAGTGAACAGTACTAGTATCGAGCCCACACCGGTCGAAACCAAACCTAGAAGGAAACAATCCAAACATCAGAGGCATATTACTTGGTCGGATGCAACTATCTCCGAATGGCAAAACTACACCAAGGATGCACAGGTGGTCCGTAACATTCCCGAAGGATATGTTATCACAGAGATGTATAAGTCATCGCGCAATATTTTTAATCCTAGCCATCCAGGTGTCTACATCGGCGGAGAAAATTATTGGCCTGTCAAAATAATGAGCCAATCGGGTCGTATGAAGTGGGTGAATCTGCACGAAGACGAGCCAACGGTCCGAACCTTTGTTAAAGAAACCATGGCGAATGAATAATTAAACCGAACGACTCTTATTACAAAAAAAATTTAAATTGTTCTGCGTAATTTAAATAAAATCAAACACATTATGCTCTAAGAAGTAGACCACATTAACTTTGTAAACATCTCGAAGAAATAAATATATTTTAAGACTGAATTCTTGTGTAAACTTTTGGCTGCAAAGCGCTCCTGTCTTGTCTAAATCGCTTCCTCTTTTCCCGCACGGATAACCCGCGACGCCCGCGCAATTAATATCCTAATCTACCCGTATTTATCCACACAGTAGAAAAATGCAAATATCTGATAAAAGTTAATCCTTTAATTAGTGTCACCCTAACAACGCATAGCAACCGGTGTGCTTTAATATAGCTTAAATTTATTAATCTTATCCGAGTTTTAGTACTTTAAAAAAAACTAGCAATAAAATATAGAAATCGCTTGACAATTATATATTATAACCTCTAATTTCCATGTGTTTATATAACCCTAGACAGCAACATATTCTCTCGTATATAGACCTCATGTGGCAGACCGGGATAAAAATATTATTTTAATTGTAGATACATGACAAATCTTTCCGCATGCTATTTCTCAGCGTTTTGACACTTGATAATATTTATATATTACTTAACAACAAAACATTTAGCTGTATACCTCGAATATATAAGTTTTAGATATATAACACTAATGCTATTTCATATAGTATCAGATTTTTTACTCCTCTAGGAGCTAAATTAAAGAAATCACTTGACAATAACAGCAAAATGCTATAGCTGTGCAATGAAAACTCCAAACAACAACATATTCTCTTGTATATAGCCCTAATTATTGTATCACACACGTGGGGAGAACGCTAAAAAATGCGTAGTCAGCAAGTTTCGCCCGATCGTGTTTAAACCTGCCCGCGTGACGTCATTGCATATAATTATGACGTATGTTAATGAGTGACGTCATTACGCACCCTCATTTGTATGAATATTAATTAACGCACCCTCAGCATCCTTACGCACCCTCATTTGTATGAATATTAATTAGCGCACCCTTACGCACCCTTACGCACCCTCAAAAATCCGGGTCGAACGGTACCTATATTACTACTCACCTTATATGTATATAACTGGTATATTCATTAGGTTCTATGCAATGTAGTTAATCCAGAATGCATACATTATAGTAAGATTTGTTATATCATAATTTTACTGTTGATTAGGAGTACAGCCGCTGAGCCGCTTGCATGCTTTCAATACTCTTTTATTATCTTGGTATATAGGCTAATAATATCTTGTCTCTACAACTATCTTAATAACTAATATAATTATTATCAATATTATGAACATTGGACATTACACTTTAGTAATTTACAAATTATTATTACACTTTTGTATCATACAATTTGCAGAATATTTGATTTTTGTACAGAACAGTTTTATAGTTTGTAATAGATAATACACCCTTCCGGAAAGTACTTAGCCGTGGTTATGGAGCCTCGTTTCCTTGTGTGAGACATTGGCGAGTCTATCTTGTTGCTGATTACAAAATTATCAAAAGGTCTTTAATATTCACTAGTGATATATGCAACTGTATGGTTTCGTAAATATGTCACCTGTAGCAAGATAGAGAGGTCTAAACCCAACATCTCAATCACGAAAACGAGGCTCTATAGCCAAAAGTGAGCACTTTCCGTATGGTAAGCATGCAGTATAATTTATATATCGTATTCGGGGGTTCTACCGCAGTAATTTCATGTGTAACAATAATACATGTATATATCTCAGTGTATTAAAATATTCAGATTAATTTCTTTGTAGTTTTACATGGCGCATAATGAAATGTGGCAGCGTTTACACTGTACCGTTTTCGTAGCGTTCTCGTATTGTTCGAGAGAACTAGACTATTGTCTTGCGTTCCCTTGAGGATTAAGAACAATACGAGAACGCTACGAAAACGGTACAGTGTAAACGCTGCCTAAGTTTTGGTTTATGGAAACACCACGTATATGTATTATTGCACGTTTATCTATTATCGTATACTTTTTCGACAGGTCTAAAGTGCAGGCTGCAGACCAGAAAATGCAGACTGGAAAAAATCATTATTGGTGTTTCTGGTGTTACGCACTCAAGATATATATATATGTTTGTGATGTTGTCCCTCCGCACCGGGCAAGCTGAAAAGTTAATTGCTTGACCGCAGTTCTATACACAGCATTACAAACATAAATCATTATTAGTTTGTACTTAAAATTAAGTAAGTTTCACGTTTATTTATTTATTTATTTATACGATTTCCAGGCACAGATTAGATATCATACCAGATGTCTCACTCTGTATCTATCCCTATGATTTTAGTGTCCGCGAAAAATATATATTCTAGCTCTTTCCCACCGTTTTGGACCGTTAACTGGTCTTAACTTACCTTTTAGCTACTCTTTTAGTGAAAATTTTTGAAAGACGCGGCCTCGAAGTTTTGGACATTTGCAAAACTCTGATAAAGTCGTAAAATAGAAGCTTTGAGTGACGGAGGTTGGTGCGTATTGTTGCCTTAATGCTTAAACTAAATGTAGGTGAAACATATAGCATCAAATAGCTAAAGTGATATAAAAACAGTCATAGGAATGGTTCATACCACGTTCTTGGCTGACTATCGTATGGTAGTAACCCCATAAATATCTTATATACACTAGATATAGTGCATCTAATTATTCCGAAATTCAAAAATTGAAGCCGTGATTGCAGACTCGGGCTATTCCCATGAAATGAGAAGATTAGTATGTTTTCTATTTCTTAAAACAGGGAACTGGAGCATTAAGTTTAAAACTTATTCCAAATACATTAAATAAATTTGTTAAACTATTCAAATGATGAAAGTTATTGTTTTTTTAAGCGTTTATTAGCGAGTGGGAACTACCAACATGGCCGCCATCTATCCAAATGGGGG